AGGGCTGAGGCCTCACTTGATGCTGGGTGGCCAGCAACATACCTGGGTTGTGGATGGGAGTTCCAGGACGTGTGGGTCGGAGCTTGGGGTTAGGCTAGGGCCTTTGATGGTGGCCATGTGCTCTAGCACCTCCCTCCCCGCCTTTTGGGCCTGCAGAGTAAGGCGGGACGTTTGGCCCAAGTCTACTCTTAGTGATTCATTTAAGCTCAGAGCCTCAAGGGAAAACAAAATCAGTCTCGGCACAGTGCTAATGGGGGACAGAAACCCTCCCAGAAAGGCTGGAAAATCCAAGACTAGGTCATCTCTAAATAGTTTTTACATTTTTTTTTTTTTTTTCCTGTGTGTCATCCTGTCTTGGAAAATCACTGTCAAAAAAAGGAAACCCCTAGCTGGGTGTAGTGGTGCATATCTCTAATCCCAGCACTCAGGAGGCTGAGGCAGGAGGATTGCTGAGAGTTGGAGGCCAGCCTGGGCTGCAAAGTAAGTTCAAGGTCAGCCTGAACTGCATATTGACAACCTGCCTCAAAAAGACAAAAAAAAAAAAAACCAAGCCCAGCAGCACCACTTCTTGGTGTTTTGTTTTATCTTATTTTTTTTTAAAGAGTCTTGCTATACAGTTCAAACCAGCCTTGAACTCACTGTGTAGCGCAGGCGAGCCTTGAATTCACAGTGATCCTTCTGTTTCAGCCTCCCAGGTGCTGGGATTACAGATATGTGTCATCACATCTGGCTGTGGGGCCACTTCTGATGAGAGTGAACCCCATATAGTCATGGACCTCTTAGTGCCTAGCCCTGGGGTTTCCCAGCTGGGTGTGTCACTGAGTCGGTACATCCAGTTGCCTCCATGGTAGCTCCAGCTTTGTCTACTTACCGGCTAGACGTGGGCTCTTGTGCCTGGTTCTGGGTTGGTTAGGGGTCAAGAGTCTCAGAGTTCGCAGACCACTGGGGCTGCTGCTTCTGCTTGGACACCCCTGCCCTCCAGCTTAGTCTTTACTGCCCCTTGTGCCTCATTTCTGGTTTCCACATGTCCTTTATGTCTGCACAGCCTGCTGTAGCCTGGAAGTCTTTGTCAGGACCCAGTGTTTATAGGAAAATGACCCCCTGCAATAGGACTTCAGCAAAGTGAAGCCAAGGTCTGGGCTCAGAGCCCTGTGAAGCAGCAGTGATGCACCCCACCCTTAGAGACTCCTCCCTCCAAAGCCAGCTGCTCCTCAGGTACTCTGTGCCTCAGTTTCTTCATTTGTCATGTGGCAGTTACCCTGTGTACTTATTTTGATGACTTAAGGAGCCCAACACACATGAGTCTCAGAGTGTGCCCCTAGCCAGATGTGGTGGCTCATACCTGTGATCCCAGTGCTCAGGAGGCTGTGGCAGAAGGATTGTTGTGAGTTCCAGGCCAGTCTGGGTTATGTAATGAGTTCAAGGCCAGGCTGAACTGCATAGCAAGACCCTGTCTCAAAAAAAGAAAAAAAAAGAAAAAAAATAGGTGGGTTGGTGAAACTCTGGACCAAGTGGAGGCTGTTATGGTTCTGAAGAAGGATCTATGGGTTCTGCTTCCATGTGGCTCATCCATGTGACCTGCTGGAGGGGCAGCCTGTGCTCCCAGGCTTTAACACTTGTTCTTAGCCAAAAGGCCGAGAAGCAATTCCCAGGCTTCAAAAAGCTCAGTACCACTTATGACCTTCTTGGGTGTGCACCTCTGGGTACCTTTCTGCAGCTGCCAGGAGTGCTTTTACCATACTGCAGCCATAGGGCAAGTGGAGATAAAGCCTCCCCCACCACAAACAGATGGGGCTGTGCTTCTGTGAGCTTGTCTCCTGCACCTCCTTGCTGCATTGGGCTCTAGGATGTCTCCTCAGTGAAGGGACATGGGCCAGCCCTTAACCCTTTCTTTCCTTTGGGCAGAGGTCAGGCTGTCCCAGGCCTCTTCCCAGCAGCAGGCCTGGCTGTTCCTCATAACTCTCAATGTGGGCTTTCTCTTTCCCTGATGATGTCTCATTCCTAAGCCTCTGTCCTCTATGCAAAACCCTTCCTATAAGTCTGCCTAAGAGAGGAGCCATGAATGCAGCTGTATGGCCTGTGTCTAGATGTCCCTTCAAAGGGACATAGGTGGCCATAGGTGGAGTTTTTCAGAAGTGTGGTCATAGGTAGAGTTTTTCAGAAGTGGCTAGATCGAGGGTGTGTGATTTGGGGATTAAGGATGTGATGCTGGGATTGATTCACCATGGGATGCTAGGATTAAGGGTACTCCACCCTGGGTATCAGTGTTACCTGCCCTAAGTGTGAGTAGCCTGGGTAGAATATAAGGGACAGAAACAGAGCTCTTGTCATTTGTTGCTTTGCTACTTCATTGCTTTGCTGCCTTCTCCTCTGGATTGCCCCTCTGCCTTGGATTCAGCCAACTAGCAACTAAAACCTCTACAATCTATGAACTACAATAAACCTTTCCTCTTTACTTTGGATGTCGGGTATTTTGCCTCAGCAACAAGAAGAGTAACTAAGACAGCAGCTGTTGAGGCCAGAAGAACAGCAAGTGAGAGCCAGGCGCTGGGTAGAATCTCCTGAGTAGATAAGGTCAGGGCGTGGCTTGGAACAGTGCCCTGCATGAGCCCCTTCCGACCCCAGTGCCCTCTGTCTGCACTGGAATCTATCCTGGAAAGGCTCCAGGGGTGCTTTTCCACTCCTGTGAGTTCCCTGGCTCTTCCTGACACTGCTTAGTAGCAGTGACACTTGCCATCATCCTGGCCACATACACTGTCAGTTCTTGGGGGGCCTGGCCTTTCTGCAGTGCTCACCCAGACTGATCCTTCTGCTGCCCTCAAGTTCTGCAGAGCTGCTCCAGATGGGCCCTGGCCAGGGCCCCCGAGGGGCAGGGAAGCTATCTGTCCTGTCATCCTGGGCCCTGGGTGGGACCTCGGTGCTATTTGATAAGCAGCCTTCTCAAGCAGAGCAGAGCTGCCAGGAGGGAAGGGAAGCGGTCCAGGGTGGTTTCTTCTTCTTTTTTTTTTTTTTGAAATTGGAATTGAACTCAGGACCTTGTGCTTGCCAGGCAGGCGCTTACGCGTCCGGGCCCCTGGGGTGGTTTCAAAATAGGATTTTGTCAGCTTTATTTTTGAACTGAAATTCAGTGACCCTGAGCATTGTGAAGCAGGTGGCTGCCAGTGCCTGTCCCCAGTGTCAGAAGTGGCTTGGGGCGTGAGCTGTGGGCATTGGTCATTGGCACTGCCCAGGGTGTGAATGTGTCAGTGATCTGCTGTCTTCCTTGATGGCCCCAGACTGTGCCCAGAAAGTTGTAGGAGATCTTATGTTCCTGGGTACTGGCTTTGCAGGCTCTGTCCTCTGTCCTGTGGCTGTGTCCTGGGGTAGGGGATTCTGTTAGAGTGGTCAGGCTTAGCATGATGCTGTCCACTGCATGCCACCTGCCCACTAGGACTTAGTGTGGACACTTATGTGTCCAGGGCTGGCTTCTCTAAGGGAGGGTCTAGAACTGGCCACTGGAGAACTTGCTCTTTTGCTCAGATTTGTTTGTTTATTTTTTGAGACGGTCTCACTATATAGTTCAGGTTGGTCCTGAACTCACTATGTAACCCAGGTTGGCCTCTAGCTCACAGCAGTGTTTTTGCCTCAGCCTCCCAAGTGCTGAGATTTCAAGCGGGTGTCGCCACATATACCCTCACTCAGGGTTTTGAGGGCCAGTCCCCTGAGGTTGTATCTATATCAGGATCCCAGCCTGCCCTTCACCTCATTCCCACTCCTAACCTGGGCTGGCCCCCTGTGGATATGGCAATTCCTGGTTCAGGGTGCATCCATGGCCTGCCGGCCCTCCCCTAGGATCCCAGGCAAGGAATGCAAGCGCTGTGGCATGGGACAGCTTGGCGCCGAGCAGATTGTTATGAAGGGCCTTGGTACAGACTGCTGCAGTGGTGTCTGCTGTGTGGTTGTGGCTTTGAGAGGGCAGCCCCCAGGGGCCTTGGTCAGACACCTGTGGGCCCTTGCCTGGGCCTCCACTGGCCTTTCCTAGCTACTCTACCAGGACTATGCTTGAAGTCAGAGGGCTCCCTTACTAGATACACAGGAGGAGGTATAATGTGCATGACCATGTGTTAGGCTTTCAGGGACCGTGGCTGGAGTGGCCCCAGAAGCACCCGAAACAGGCGTGCTTCAGGCTGGAACTGAGGATATGGGATTCCCAGACTGACTTGGTGGGCTGAAGGAAGTCCTGAGGGCCAGAGAGGGAACTGAGCCTTGGGGTTCTGGGCTGTACGTCTACCCCTACCCTCTTCTGCTGTGTGTGAGCAGAAGGACAGGACCCAGCTGGGTACTTCAGTCAGGCTGGCTCCACTGAGCAGCCTCAGCACCGAGGCACTGTCCCACCCTCTGGACACCACACACACAGCGGCCTACCTTGTAATTTTCACTCTCATTGATGCCAATTAGGAGTGGCGCTGTCCCTTCCTCTGTTCCCTGGGTGGGCAGAAGGAAAGCCAGCTTGCTCCCCAGGGGAGAGAGAGATGGAGTCAGCGTGGCCATGGGCTGTGGCTGAGAGGGCAGTGGGGGCGGACGGCTGGGGTTTTTGCCAACACTCTAATTTGGTGACTGTCACTGCCCCTTCCCTGCATGGAGCTCAGGACGTGGCCTAGAACAGGAATGCTATTCCCCAAGTTGGTTCCTTGATTTGGGGGCTTCCCATTTAGGCAGAGAATATGCAGGGAAGCTGCCCAAATTGGCACTCCCTAACTCACCCGAATCCCCTAATGAGTGCTGGTGCACATCCTGGCTTGAGCCAGACTTTAGGGTCTTAGCCCCTGCTGGTGACTGAGGGTTTCCATATTGGCTGCTGAATGGCCGGTGGGGGGCTCCGTCTCTGGGCAGGGTCATTTGGGAGGTCCTGTCCTCACACTGTGTAGGCAAGTAGCTTGGGGAGGCATCAGCTAGATTCAGTCTGTGTGCTAAGACTGAACCCCCCGGAATCCCCAGTCAGCTGAGGCCTCTGCCCACAGCCTGTGGATCGAGACCCTGTGGTGTGCCACCCCGACCTGGAGGACCTGCTCGAGGCCTGGCCAGCAGAGCTGCCAGATGAGTTCTTTGAAGTGACTGTGGATGACGTGAGGAGACGCCTGGCCCAGCTCAGGAGTGAGCGGTGGGTGCCCCCTGCCCATCTGCTGTCCCCACATCAGGTCCCCAACACCTTGCCCAGGTCCATAACACCCATAGGCTCAACAGTATCTCCTGGTCCCTTCCTGTGAGAGCCCTGGAGGAGATCTGACCCTTTACCTCCTCCCACCACAGGAAGCGCCTGGAGGAAGCACCCCTAGTGACCCAGGCCTTCAGGGAGGCTCAGATGAAGGAGAAGCTGCAGCGCTACCCAAAGGTATGGGGGAGGCTGTTTGGGTACGGGCACTTCCGTGGTTCCCTTGTGGGAAAACCATAGCATGTGATAACGGCTGAGCAGCTGGTGCCACTGGCCACTCACAGTTGTCTCCCTGATGTGGATGGAGAGGGCTTTGCAGCCAGATTCCTTTGTTAACCAGCTAATCCCCTTAATGTTTCATGATGGAAAAAATTGTTCTGTGTTACTGGGGCACAAATCTAGTAGGGTCTCTTCTGTACTAGGCAAGTATTCCATCACTGAGCTAGTCCCCAGTCCTATGATGAATCTGAGTGGATTTAGAGGCAGATGTCAGTGTGCTTCTAGAAGGCATGTGTGCGCATTTGAGTGCTGGACCGTCTTGTCCTCAACCCAGCTGTGATGAGGCATGGGGGCTTGCAAGGTTGGGAGCGGAGCTGAGTGGTAAGGCGCCTCCCTGTCCCGGGGTCAGCTTAGGTAGTCTCTGCTGACTGTGTTGTTTATTCCAACCTAGGTGGCTCTGAGGATCCTATTTCCTGACCGATACATGCTGCAGGGTTTTTTTCGCCCCAGTGAGACAGGTGAGCACCCCTTGGGTGGGATAGGGGTAGGGTTAGGGAGCCCACTGGGCCCTTCTGGATTCCCTCCTTTCAAGCCACAGCCTGGCCATTTGCCCTTCAGGCTCTAGGGAGACTAGGCAGTTGCAAGCTGCTCTTCTCGAGGGATATTCAGAGGGCCCTGAGCTTGCTGTGTTAGACGGAGCCAGGCATGGACATAGCTTTTCCCACAGGGACTCTATTCCATCCCATGGAGCCATGAGTCTGGTTGCTCTATGCATCTGCCTCTTCTGGGCACAAGTGGGTGGGGAGCACCCAGAGGAAAGATGTAGCAAGGTCTCCAGTGCAGGGTGGGCCTCTGTGACCTGTCTGGGGAGAGCTGGGTGAGGCAGTCCCAAGCCAGTGCAGGGCTTCTTTCCCCACAAAACTTAGGTTGGGATGATGGGCAGATGAGAGACTTGGGGGACTCTGGGCCAAGACAGGCACCAGGCTAGGAGGGGCCAGGCCTCTCCTGGCTGGGGGTCCAGATGGCAGCCTGGACATAGGGGGGCGCTATGGAAGAGACAGTCACATTCCCAGAGGATTTTAGCCTCTGCTGAGAGAGAGGGAGCTGTTTGAGATTGGTGTCTCAGGCTGCTTTTGTGGGGCCCAGGTCAGCAGGATGTTGGGTGGTGGGGACGGGAAGGTAGGCCTGGAAGCCTGTGCCCTGGGCCTGTTCTGCGAAGCCTTCTGCTCATCTCTCCTCTGCAGTGGGGGATTTGAGAGACTTTGTGCGGAGCCACCTGGGGAATCCTGAGCTGTCCTTCTACCTCTGTGAGTCCCTCCTCAGACTGCCTCAGTTCCATCCTGGTCTCCCTTGTCCCTGGTCCAGGCTTTGAGGGGAGGCTTAGGACTGCCTCCCTCCCAGTGGTTTTTCTATAGGAAGGCATTATTTGCTGCAGTGTCCAACCCAGGCACTTAGCAGTGTCGAACTGAACTGGAGGGCAGGGCAGTCGCCAGAAATGGGAGGCAGTGTCATGCCCCCTCCCATTTGTGAGCCCTGCTCCCTAGCATCGCCTGTCCCCTCATTGTGAGGCTCAAGCTGGCGAAGGGGCTAAAGGCTAAGACCTAAGGGGCCCCTCAGAGATGCCCTACCTGAGACCCATCTTCCCTGGGGGCATGGAGGGCAGCCCACTTCCTAACACAGATGCACCTTTTCCCTCCAACCCCTGCAGTCATCACTCCTCCCAAAACAGTCCTGGACGACCCAACGCTGACCCTCTTCCAGGTACCCAGGGCCTCACTGGGGCGGGGGCATGCCGGGAGGGCAGAGTGCCATGCAGGGCGAGGTCTGCGGTTGGGAAGGAGCACCCACCCTGGCAGGCGCTGCCGGCGAGTAATAAAGCTTTTGAGAGCCGGTGAATTCAGAAGGAGCAGCGGCCTCTGAAGTTGTTTCTGACAGGGCTTTCCAGCCTCCTCCGCTTCCTGCCTGGCCCCGGGCAGGGATGGGCTTGCCCTGCTAGCTGGCCTCAGTCCTGAGCTAGGGCTGCCGAGAGGTCCCAGCCCTGGGCTGCTGAGTAATACCAGCCCCCTGCCTAGTTTCTGGGTGAGGAAGGGGCCTGGGCAGGCCTGGCACAGGGCTGATGGGATCCCCAAGAGGGTTGGTGCCCTTGCAGGACGGGGCTGGTTGGGAGGCCCGGCCCTGGACTTCTTGTTGCTGTTTCCTGTGCCCATCTCCTGGGCCCAGTCTTTCCCCTGGACACCCTGGCCTCAGCTGGAAATGCCTCTGTTGGCCCCATTCTCTCCTGCCCTGGCAGGCCCTAGAGGTCCTGAGAGCTCTGATCCCATGTCCAAGGAGCCCCCTCTCAGAGCCGGGAGGGATGAATGTCCTGTCCTTCCCCCCTGGGAGAGCAGCTGAGACCTCCCCACCCCTCAGGCCTAATGGTTTCCTCTTCAAAGTCGTTTCAGATATTTTAATTAACAACAGAGGCGGCCAAAGGCCTCTGCTGAGGTCTGGGTTGGGGGTAACAGTCTCTGCTGGCAGCCTGGAGCCACCACTGTTGGGGTGAGATGGGGCCTGGAGCAGGCAGGCAGCAAAGGATGGCTGGAAACTCACCAGGGACAATGGGGAGAGGGATGGGGGTGTTGTGGGGTGTGAGGCCAGCCTGTGATCCCTCCCTCAGGCGCCAGGGCTGTGTTCCATCTTCACTTACTGGCCAGCCTGTTGATAAACATTGAGTTTGGAAGACCATTTGCGATGGAGGGCCAGCCCCCTCCCCCAGTTAGGAGGCCCTGTAGAGCCCTGGGGTGCCCTGTCCAGCCAGCCTTGATTCCTGGTGACACTCTGCCCCTGCCTCCAGCAGCCGTCTCCTTTCATCTGTCAGCTCGGCCTGGAGCCTGCTGCCATCTGAGCTGGCAGGGCGGAGGGAAGGAAGCGTGCCCCCACCCCCAGCGGCAGTGGGCTGGCAAGCTGAGCTTTCATGTCTGTCAAGTCTGTGCTCTGGCTGCCTGTGACCCAGGGGTGTCTGGGCCCAGCCTGCTCCGGCAAGTGACAAGTGTGGGGGATGTGGGTCCACACTGGACAAAGAGAGCAGTAGTTTTCTGAGAGGTTCAGTGGGGGCAATTAGGAGTGAGGACAGGACCAGGAGGAGAACATGGGAACAGGTACCCCAAGCCCTTGCTTCAGACCTTCCTGACCCTAAGTACTGGGGTCCTAGCCTTGCCTTCCCAGCCCCTACCTACTGATACAGGAAAATAAAAAACTCCCAACCTGAACGATATCTGGGACGAGTTCAATATCTGGGCAGAGTTCATGTTCTCTAAAATCGGAGAAAGAATTTTAGGAACAGTGGTGGTTAAGAGCAAAATATATTTATTGAGTGAAAGAAAGCTTCTGTCAGAGAGGGACAGAAGGGGTTCCCGACTGGGTTGCCCAAGACTCTGTCTTTTCCCATCCAAGTACTAACCAGGCCCAACCCTGCTTAGCTTCCGAGATCAGACGAGATTGGACGCATTCAGGGTGGTATGGCTGTACACAAGACTCTGTCTTTTCTAGGGACTTATATAGAGCAAAACCACGAGGTGAGGTGGGTCCAAGGTAGGGGAAAAATGGACAAAATTATGGTAAGCCAATAAGAATTGTTCAGATAAAATTGATCAAACCAGGATCAAATGGGGAAGCGAGTCACATAGCAACTGGGCACGTAGGAACTGGGCACAAGTACAGAACAGGGACTTTTCCTGTAAGGGGTTGGATCAGTGACTCTTTAAGGTGATATAGCTACCTATTTAGAATATCAGTCCCTCATGTTCACACCTAGGGAGGAATGTGGGTGCATTTGTTTAGTGCTTTGTTTTGAGGTCTGGCCCACAGGTATCTTATCCTGTCTTTCATGTTGGCTCCTTCGAGAGCCTGACTCAGTCTGACTGCCTATAATATTTCTGTCTAACTCAGCTGCCTATAACACTACCACCTCACACAGGGACCCTTCCACCCTGGCAGGAAGTTGGCCAGCTGGAAGGGGGCTGAGGCCCTGCATGACAGCCCCTGCAGAATGGAGAGGGCTCACTTCTCTTGCCCTCGCTCAATATGTGTTCTGGGGACCTCGGGTCAGTTGTTACCCACCTCTACCTGAGGTCAAGGCAGGTGGTGTTAAGTTTATCTGTCCCCACCCTTATCTGAGCTGGGGGTAGCAGGTGGGACTGGTTCTGAGGACCTCAATATGTGTTCTGGGGACCTCGGGTCAGTTGTTACCCACCTCTACCAGAGGCCAAGGCAGGTGGTGTTAAGTTTATCTGTCCCTACCCTTATCTGAGCTGGGGGTAGCAGGTGGGACTGGCCAGGGTCTGGAGGCTGGCCAGTACTTGAGTGGTCCACTGAGCTTCCAATGAGCAGGTGTGTGGTCTTCTGTTTGTTCCTCATTTGATGGGGATGCCAGAGACCCAAGCCAATGGGCAGGGCTTCAGGTGATCACTGAGGGGAGGTGGGGAGGCCTGGTTCAGAAGAGGCCTATAGGGCTCCACTCTGAGGGAAGGTCCTTCCCCAGGCCCTCAGGCCCTGCACCCCTAGGCTGGCCCTTCTCTGTGCCCTTGCACCAAGGTGAGGGGCAGAAGTGGGCCCCCAGCTTGCTGGCAGGACTAGACAATGCTAGCATTCTGGCATGTCCCCCAGCCTGAATGCAGTGAAACTAAGCTTTGGCACAGGGCCTCAGGTCACAAGGTACAAATGAGCCCATCTTTGGGGGCTTCCATGTCCCTTGCCCTGGGAATCCACAGCTGTTCTGCCTTGTTAGGGGAAGGGCCCTCATCCTAGCCCTAGCCCTGGCCCTGGCCCCAGCCCTAGCTCTGCCCCTCCCCTGAGCAGGTCTCACCCTGGCCACACCTGGGTGAGCTCAGAGTGGGAGGGGCAGGCGCCTTCCCTAGGAGTCAATTTTTTTCTCCTGCGTGGCGCTGTGGCCCTGGGGAGAAAGTGGCAAATTGGCTGTCAGGGTGTGAATCAAGGTAGGGGAGTTCCTGGGGCCCTGGATGGGGTAGATGCCTCAGGGCTTTCCATAAGGTGGGAGAGGAAGGTGTAGTGGGACTTGGGGAGGCTCAGTTTGGGCCCCATCTGGAACCCTGCCTCTGGAAACAGGACAGCTTGGATACCACCCAGTCTGCTTCCCCCATCACCTCCGTCCCCTCATTACAGCAGTGTGAGCTGTCCCTTGGAAGCTAAGCATAGGCATGTAGGGATGGGCTGAATGACTGGCCAAGTACCCCTGCCCAGCAGTGGGGACAGATCCCCCTCCTTCTACCCCTCTCTGCTTTCTCCCAGGCAGTGCCAGGCAAGAGGTCCCATGGGAAGGGGCTGTCGTGAAGGACAGCTCTGCTGTAAGCCCTCTCCTAGGCAGCTTCTAAGGGAGACTGGCCAGCAGTGGATGGGGAGCAGATGGAGCCCAGGGCAAGGCCAGCCAGGCTTCCCTGGAGAGCTGAGCAGAGTGGGGCCACAGCTGTCTCTGAACCCTGGCCAGGTTGTCTGCAGTGGGGACACACATTTGGGGTTCAGAGGGTGGGCCTGCCATGGCTGAGACTCATGCTGTGCCCCCGCCTAGCTCCTGGGCTTCCAGTGCCTCTCCAGAGGCACTAGGGCAGCCTCCCCCCCAGGCCTCTGCTTAGGAGCTTTGATGCAAGCTTCACAGTTGGGTTTCAAAGCGTTCACCGCCCTTGTTTGTGTCCCCTCGCTGTGGGCTGGAGCTGAGGTTTCAGCGTTCCTAGGCCCGGCCTTTGAAGCTTGCTCTTATTAATCTTTTAACATCCCCACCCCAGCCCCCACCCCACAGCCTGAGGCACTCCCAGCAGCTTGGGGCTGAACAGCTTTCAGCCCTCAGCCAGCAGCTGTGGCCTCGTCCAGGAGCTGGCTTCCGAAGTGGTCCTGAGTTTGTCCACATTAGCCAGGGCCTCCCCGCTCCCCGCTTGGGTATGAAGAGGGAAGGATGTGATGTCATGACACTGGGGTGGTGGGGGAGGCTCTTGGCCTTTGCAGCCCTGATGCTGCATCATTTCTAGCCGTCTGCCAGGGAGGCCTCAGAGCCATGTGCCCAGGCATTGGAGAAGTGACACTTCTTCCTGCTGTACACCCCACCTGTGCCGAAGCAAGTGGGGCCAACCCCCATACTGCTGCCCCACCCCCGGGCCCTGGCAGAGGAAGCTGACACCAGGCTTCACACTTGGGTTTCAAAGCAACCCTTACCCTGGTTTTGGTGATGGAAGAGTTGGTGGCTGGTCCTTTTCTGCCTGACCTAGCCTTGCTCAGTAGTAACAGCCACGGCCTAGCTGGTGCTCTCTCCAAGGCACATCTCAGCCTGGGACCCAGCTCCTCACCTTGAGCCTGAGTCTGCCCTCCAGGAAGCTCCCATCTCCCAGCAGGCATAGCATTCACAGACCCCCAGTTTTGGGGGCAGCACTGGAGAGGGGTTGGTGTGGTCAGTGGGGAGGCACAGGCCTCTGTCTCATTCCTGGACAGCAGCAGGCTGCTCCTGCCCAGTGTCCTCCATCTCTGACCCCATCCATCCATTCCTGTCTCCTCTGACCTGTTGGGCAGGATGTCCCATTGGAGTCACAGTGAGCTTTGAGACTGATCTCCTGAAAGTGTTGGTTTTGTTTTTTGAGACGTCTCACTGTGTAGCCCAGGCAGCAGTCCTCCTGTCTCACCCTCCCAAGTGCTGGGATTCCAGGTGTGCACCACCATGCCCAGCCTTGGTTAGTGCTGGGCAGGAGGCAGAGGGGAAGGTGAGGAGAAATGCAGGAAATCATTTACACAGATGAGCATGACTCCCCAGCTGCTGGTTGGGGCTATCCTGTGGGTGGGGGTCCCAGTTAGTCCAAGTTAGGTGACCTGCCAGAGGAAAGGGCCCTAGCCAAGACCCCCAGCCTCATGGAGTCTGCCTGCCCACTGAGCCCTCTGCCTCCCTACAGGCAAATCTCTTCCCTGCAGCCCTTGTGCACTTTGGAGCAGAGGAACCAGCAGGTGAGTAAGGGCTCCACTCTACTGAGCCCAGCAGGTGAGTAAGGGCTCCACTCTACTGAGCCCAGCGAGCCATTCCTGGGCCCTGCACCTCAGCACATCTGATGCCCCCAAGCTGGATGGCCTGGAAGGGAAGTTGGGAACCTCATGTGGGTCTAGCGGGGTTGTGTAGCCCAATACCTGCCTCCCTGGGGCAACACCTGCTGAACCACGCCCTCCTGGAGTCAAGTGTGTGAGTGGGAGGACTCCTGTGGTTGAGGTGGGCTTGGGCCTTTGCAGATGTCTACCTGGAGCCTGGGCTGCTGGGACGCACCATCTCCCCATCGGCAGCCGACATGCTGGTAGCTAGGTAAGTGCTCCGGGCAGGAGGGGACGCCTCCCAGGGAGCACCTGCCTCCCAGGGAGCACCTACCACCCTTGCTTGGGCGTTTCTCCCAGGTGCATGCCCAGGGCTACCAGGTCCCCACCACCACAGCTCGACTCTGACCCTGTGCCACTTGAGTCCAAGCCAACTGCTGAGGAAGGGTCAGTGAGCTCCCCTGAGACCATCCCAGGGTCTGGCCAGCTTGTGAAGAGGAGCTTGGACAAGGTGCCCAAGTGGCTCAAGCTGCCAGGTGCCTATCATGGGTTGGCTGGGTGGGGCAGGGTAGCTGGTGGCCCAGGACCTGCAGTCAACCTGGTGTGTTTGTGCTACAGCCAGCAAGAGGTGAAAGCTGCTGGCCCAGAGGTGCTGTCTGCCGGCTATAGGACCTCACCCCAACCTAGAACAGGAATAAAGACACACTCAAGTCTTTTGAATTGTCCTTTCTGCAAAAAAGGTCACCAGGCCTTGTTCCACGTGCTCTCATTCATGACTAGCTACCCTCCCAGTCCTGGGAATTCTGGCCAATGGTATGGCTGTGTTCTGTTAACAAAGGCTCAGGTATCCTCAAAAGGTCTGGCAGCCCAGAGCCCTAGGCTCATGGCTGCTTCTCATGTCTACCTGGCTGACCTTATTCCCCTTCTAGGAGGATGGAAATACAGAAGGGTCTCCATGGCAAACTAATCTGAAACCTCAGGCTAATTTGAGGTCCTCCAAAGCTGCGCTGAGGCCCAACTGTATATATACCCAGAAGGAAACCACCAAGAAATCTGTGGCTTCTAGAGCCTGAGCTCTGACCCCATAGCTAAATACCCCTGCCCTGGGCTCTGACAGAACAGCTTGGTGAGCTCCAGGGAGGGATCCAGGTCACCCAGCAGAGTGCTGGGATCCAACATGCCTGAGCAGTGGAACAAGCAAAGCTCGCTGGCCAGCACCTGAGCTATCAGTGGGCTGCCAGGCTTGGGTGGAATTCCTTCCCTAGTCAGTGAGGGTGGCCTGCAGCTGGGCAGGGATAAGGGAAGGCTCAGCACAGCCTCAGGGCAGGTGCAGTTTAGCAGGTGGTTCCCATGTTCCTCACATTTTCATTCTGCATCCTGGTCCTAACCTTAACCCACCATGGCCCAAGGCAGGAGTGGCATTTGCCATGTGTGTGAAGGCTCTGGTTTCCTCAGCAGGCAGTGGGCCACACATTACCTTTCGAAGCATTCTGCCTGCATCCTACCAAGATACTGTAGATGAAAGAGAGCATGGGGCTTTGAAGCAAGTTGACTTTGGTTGATGAATGGTAACAAGAAGGCCAAGCCTGGGAGACAGGTGTTAATTTATTGATGTTTCTTTGTCAGGACAAAGTTACAGCTCAGGGAAGTATCAGGTGGCTAAAAAGTTACACACCAGCTTTGATGTTGGGGTGGTAAGGCAGCTGGTTGGTTTGTAAAACACATGGGTTATCTTGAGTAGCTGTGGCCAGGAAGTAGACCAGTTCTCCTCCCCACTGCACCTGCTTCCCTAGGACCCACAGGGTGTGTCCCCAGGGGCCTGTGAGCCACAGACCAAGAGGGCACTAGGAAGGGTAGGAGCTTCCAGGATCTTGTCATCCCTCAGAGGCTAGAGAACAATGTTGGGACTGGGTGTCAATGCTGGTATGGATGTAGCCCAGGCCCTGCAGGCCACAGGAGACACAGCAGCTTATAGGGGAATACTGACTTCCTGGGGGTTGGTCTGGGAGGGGTGGACACCCCTAGAAGTCCAGGAGCTGTGAGGGAAAAGAGTACTCAGTAAGTAGCCTGGCAGTCCTCAAGCAACTGCAGCTGTCATATGTGGACCCCACGTCTACATACCAGCTGAGGAAGCACCTTCTCCAGCTGGTCCACATCCACCAGGGCCATGTCTTCTGCCTGGGCCTGCCGTACCCCACGGACAGCTGCTTCTGATGTGACACAGGGAGGTGAAATAGAGTGCTGGATGCTTGAGTCTGGCCCTGCCTCACCAACAACAACTCAGAGGACCAAGCTCAGGTACTCATGGGAAACTGGGAAAAATTTTACACCAAGAAATAAAACCAGCAATCTCAAGTGTTCTGGTGGTTGCCAGCCCTGGGCTTACCCACAACGAAGATTCTCAGCAGCTCCGCCATAAGCTGCAGGGCATCCCCACTGACTGCAAGGGGAGAGAGCAGGTTAGAAAGGCCGCAGACTTCCAGGCCTCACCACCCACCCGGTTGCTAGCGCCCGCACCTTTGGTCCTGTCATCCCTGAAGTGCAGGTGCAGCAGTCTGCTCACCAGCTCCTGGGGGGAAGGAGGGCTCAGTGCCAGCCAGCCACAGCTCCATGGGCACCAGAAGCAGTGGTTCTGGATAGGAGGTTGAGACCTCCAGCTGGAGTTGCTGCCCCCTGAGACCTCTCTCAGTGGGGGACTGGTAAGGGGCTCGAAAAACCTCTTTGTAAGGAGCAAGTTGGGGGAGGGACCGCTCCAGTTACCTACTTTCTGGGGCTCAAGGGGGACGAGGGGAAAAGAAGAGGAAAACGTTCTCTTTGCTTCCCTGCTCTCCCTGGCAGGAGGCACCTGCTCCTGAGGGTGGCTGACCCCTTTGAAGGTCTGCCCCCAATACTGCTTAGCTTGAACCAGTCCAGGGCAGCAGAGGAGATGGCAGGGGAAGGGAGCAGCAGCACTGGGCACCCAGGAGCTCAGACAGTGGGAGGTGTGTCGCGCTGCCTCACCAAGGCTGGTGGGTCCCTAGGAACAACCAAACAACCACGAGGGCGGAGCGCCACCTGCTGGGCCCGCTTACCTCGCGTTCTACCAGGAAGGCAACAGAACCGACTTGTTCCAAGACTCCCACCGCGGTACCCAGATCTTAGAAGTCCAGAGAATCGGCCAATGCATAGGGTTAGATGACAGCTCTGGGAATTGGTCCGCGTACAAGACGTGGCCTGGGGAGGAGCCTGAGACACGCTGAGTTCCTGGACCTCACCGAGCAGACTTCGGGCCAGGGCTGCTGTCTCTCCCTTGCGTCACCCTCACCAACTCGGCCCTCGAGCTGTCCAGGCAGGCTGGCTGTGCTCCTGCCTGGGCGGCCGCTCCTCCAGCGTTGGCCCAGGCCTTTCCGTCATCGGTGACCCTGCGTGCCTCTGGGATGGGGGCAGCGCGACCTCCCTTCCCCGGTGGACGAGGCCCTCCCGCTGTCCGGATGCGAAGGATGCTCGGCGCCTTCTAACCTTACCCCGAAGGTCAAAATAACTCAGGCTGGACGGGTTGGAGTCCAGCAGGTCCTCTGCACTAGCTTGCCCGACGGTGCAGAGAAGTCCGCACCCTGAGCCACGCCCCCGAGCCTGGTTGGCGGCGCCGGCCGTGTGGGAGGGCCTAAAGCTTCCCTGCTTCTCGCGGCCAGTCAGCCTCTGCAGACATCTCTGTTCAGCCGCAGACCGGGCTGACCTCCCACCCTTAGAAGCATGGGCAAACAGTGCGGAGCTAGCCTCGGGCACGCACCGGTATCACGTAAGGGCTGGCAGGGTCCGCACCCACTTAGAGCCCGCCGCCAACCCTCACCTTCCGGAAGCCAGCGCTGGCTCTCTCCATGACCACCGTCTCCGTGCGTCCTCCACGTAGCCCCGCCTCCGAGTCCCAGCCAATGAACATGGAACGCGGGCTCCCGTAGCCATACCCACGGCCTCAGCCAATGAACACGGAGAGGATCTAGGAATTCCACCCCGAGCTCCCAGCCAATGAATCGGAGAGACCCGGGAGACCCTCTCCTGCCTCTCCGTCCACCCAGCCAGATGGCGCTGCCTCTGCTACTCCCGCCTGGTATGGCTCGTGTTCCCGCCCTTTGCTCTCATTGGTCTGCTGCTAGCCCTGCAGCGCCTCCTGGGATTTAGAGTCCTCGCTGCCCTTCCCAGCGCTCCCCGCTCTTCCTGGATACTGAAGCGCGCGGAGCCTCGGTAGAGCGCGGCCGGGCAGGCAGGGGTGCCGGCGCGAGCGTTGGGCGGGCTTGCGGTGGTGTGACCCGGGCCCTGCTCCCTGGCCTTCCCTGCTGCTCGGGGACGGCTCGTCCTGCTGCAGCTCCCCCGCCCCCATTCCCCCGTTCTACCCTCCTGGATCCCTTCTTAAGGCCCGCGCTTCTCGCCCGCATCTGCCTCCGACGCTGGGCCTCCAGGGAGAGCCGACACACGCGGGCCCTGTCTCTAGGAGCATGCGGGCGAGGTCCCCTGCACTCGGAGATATGGAGGAGCTCCGGCGGTCCTACAGCCGCCTGTGCAAGGAGAGCGGGGCCGAGCCGCAGGAGGCTGTCCTGCGGCAGCTGCACCAGCCTCAGCAGGGCCGACTGGATTTGGCTGGGCACAGCCTGACTGTGGACACCTGTAGGGCCTTGGGCAAGCTGCTGCAAAACCAGACGGTGTGGACGGAGCTGGTTCTCAGCGACTGCATGCTGAGCGAAGAAGGTGGGCACGAGGGCACTTTTGAAGCTTCAGGCTGGGGCTCAGCCCTTCGTTAAGGGCTAGCCTGAGAGTGGGTTCCCTGGCTTCTTTTGGCTTTCCAAGCTGCCCGCAGGAATTCTGTGCCACCTGATTGGTTCCTCTTCTCTCTGTGTACTAATGGCAGTAGTGTACCCCCAAAACTAGACATGGGGTCAGTTTCTTTATAAGAGAGGGGAAATCCTAACATCCCCTGACTTGTAGTTTAAGGGTTCTGGCACAGGAGAGGTCACAGTGGCCCGCTCTGTGCCTGGCAGGGCTGCAGGTATTTCAAAGGTAAACCTAGAACTGAGTGGGGAACTAGTTTCCAGTGTGAACACAGAGCAGTGCAGCCACCTGCACAGCTGTCCCTCTGGGAGCTGCCTTGCAATGGGTCCCCAAAGTGGGCCCTGAGCACAGAGGCAGAGAGTGACCACACACACATCCTTATTTAGGGGCCACAATGCTGCTTCAAGGGCTCAGTGCCAACACTGTCATGCGACTTCTGGATCTGAAGGTGAGCATGGTTGTCCTCCAAGCAATAGAGAGGCACACAGGGTCCCAGGGCCTCCGCATTGCTGTGTGTCTTAAGGGCAAAGTGTTCACATAAACACATGCTGGTCCCAGGACACCCACCAAGGTCACAAAAACTAGATGAGCACACCTTTGCCAAGAGCTTGCCTCCCTGGCCTTGTCCACTGCCTGACCAGGGCTCCGTGGAACAGATGTGCTATTCAAAGCCCAGCCAGGGTGACAAGAATGACTGGCCAGGCCGTTTCTATCCAGGGCAATAACCTGCGGGCTGCAGGGGCCGAGGCTCTGGGAAAACTCCTCCGACAGAACCAGTCCATTCAGAGGTAGGCTGGGTCCTGGGCATACTTCCCTTCTCTGCCCTTTGTGGCTCGGGGTTGGCCCCAGAGCCGGGGTTGGTCCTGTGGCCTGTTTGCTCCTTCAGGCCAGTTGTCCATGGTTTACATGCATTGGTGGGAGTGGGCGGGTAGAAGTCACTCAAGAAGGTCCAGCTTCTGCTAGAGACCCCTGAACCCATCCTCACACACACACACAGGGGCCCTGGACCCCATGTGGCAGGATACCCTGCTAGGCCAAGCACCTTGTCTTCACCCTTACCGCAGCCTCACCTTGGAGTGGAACAACCTGGGCACATGGGAAGAGGCCTTCACCACCTTCTGTAGGGGCCTGGCAGCCAACAGTACCCTGCGGCAGCTGGACCTCCGAAACAACCAGATCAGTCACAAAGGTGCAGAGGAGCTGGCCCTGGCCCTGCAGGGCAACGCCACCCTCCAGCAATTGGGTGAGGCATGGTGCATCGGGCTGTACCCATTGCTTCTTTATCCCTCTGCTGCAGGAGGAGCTGGCCTGGGAGCCTGTTTTGTTGACAGTCCCCCAAAGGAACATCTAGCTAGGCCAGCTCCCCTCCCCGCCCCCCGGATGCTTTCTGTCAAGTGACAACAGGTTTCTTTCTAGACTTGCGCTGGAATAACATTGGCCTCCTGGGAGGTAGGTCCCTGGTGAACTGTCTACCCAGCAACAGAACCCTGTGGAGGCTGGACCTGGCTGGGAACAATGTCCCTGGTGACATCCTCAGAGCCGTGGGTATGGATGCACAGGGCTGCTAACAGCTCACATTCGGGAAGGAGGCTGGAAGCCCTTTAATAGAAGGCAGCTCAGCAAGGGAGGGATAGCTCAGGGCTCAGGACAAATAAGTTCATCTTACAAGTAGCCTCACATAGGTAAGCCCCAAGAGGGAGAAGAGAGCTGAAGGCAAACAGCCACAGCCAAGCTGGGCGCTCACTGCCCAGTGCTGCCTGCTAGAGGGCTTGCTTGTGCTTGTTCAGTTCTTAGGACTTTTGTGAAAGGAAGATCACCGACCTACAGACAGGGAGGTTGAGGCCCTATGTGGTTGAGCCCTTGCCTTGATGGCTGTGCTAATACCTGAGGTAGTTCTTGGTCACCCCTAAGTTTGTAGCTGTGCATGTGAGCAGTGTGGATGTGGGGCTGCCTGGCCTGTGCTGCTTTGTCAGAGCTACAGCTTCCATGTTCCCCTGCCTCTGGTAACCCCCAAGTCCCTAGAGATAACACCATAGCCACAGGCTCAGCAGATTCACACCCCCTGGCTCCTCATCCGTCCCACAGTGCCAGCCACTGAAGGCTGAGCTTGGGCCTAGACCTCAACCTCTTCTACACCCTTGTGCTGTGGGGTCACTGCTTCCTGATGTCTCTGTCAGCTCCAACTTCTTGCTGTCCCTAGCTACACCTCAGCATAGCCAAACTGTTGTACTTGCTTTTGACTGCAGCCACTTGGGTCTTTCTAGAACACAGTTTCTGCCTCTTAAAGTCATGCAGCAGCCCTTGGCTTTTGGGGTAGGGGACGGAGGATGGTGCTCATCTCTTGTGATAGAGAAGCCCTCCCCCCGAAACACCCTGTACCCCTCCTGCACTCAGCTCCTGTCCCACTGAAGTGCTTCACCTGCTAGTGTCCTGGAGGTGGGGAGTCAGACTTGTCAGGGGAGATGGTTGTTTCCAGGTTCCAGTGCAGCTGAGCCAGGCAGGGCTGGCCATTGGGCCCGAGAAGCTGAGCAGCCCACATCTACTCTCCTCTGTCTCCAACAGAACAAGCCATGGACCACAACCAGGACCAGCATACTGCCTTCCAGGAGAACCAGGTCCGGACCCATATCCTCAGCAGGGAGGTTCAGCACCTCCAGAAGGAGAAGTCCAAGCAGGTAAGCACACTGCTCCCAGCTCAGCCTAGCTGCTGTGGATGGAGGATCTGGCTGGCTTCTCCTCCCACTCCCATGGCTACCATCTTCCCTTTCCCCCAGACCCTGTAGCTCCTCTGAGCTGCCTGCACCCAGGATCAAGCTGTCTCCTGACCTGACCTGAGAGTTAGCTTCCTAGCCTCGCTCTGTAGGGACCACCTCACTTTGAATGAGATAGTTGGACCAGGGAGGCTGAGTCCTTTACAGCCTGGTCGCGTGGGGATCCTGCCTTCCTTTCCTGACCAGGGCAGAATGGGCAGGCCCGGGACCTGATGGGCTTTGGCTTGCTCTGTTCCCAGTTTGTGGATTTGATGGAGACAATTGATAAGCAACGAGAAGAGATGGCCAAGAGCAGCCGGTAAGTGGGCCCAGGACTGTGGGATGTAGTGTTGCATGGTAGGCCTTGTCTGTCCCTGCTTGGGAATGGTCATAGTGGGCTTCCCAAAGTGGTAGCTAGAGGGTTAAGGCAGGTACACCACATTTCCCCAGCTCAGTTCCTGTGTGCTGGAGACCTTGATGCATGGCAGCTATGCCCAAGGCCAGGTGGGCCCCTGGGTTTCCCAGCCTCTTCTCTCTCACCACAGGGCAGTGGCAGTGCGTATGGGGCAGCTTCAGGAAGCTCTGAATGAGAGGCAGTCCATCATCAAGTCTCTTAAGGCCAAGTAAGCAGCTGGTGTGTGTGTATGTGGGCAGGTTCAGTGCCCCATAGAAACTGCAGGTGTACCCACAGGGTAGAGGGTATACAGGCAGAAGTGGGTGGTGACTCAGGAAGGCTTTCTGCAGGAGCTGAGCACTGGCTAGCATTTGGATAGGGGCCTGGCAGGAGTGCGATGGGGGACCTTGGTAAGGCAGGTCACACTCCCGATGGAGCCACGCAGGGGCTCACCCTTCCTCTTTGCAGGTTGCAGATGACTGAGGCTGCCCTGGCTCTGTCTGATCAGAAGGCCCAGGATCTGGGGGAACTGCTGGCCACGACACAGCAGGAGCACAGGCTGAGACAGCAGGTGGGGGCAGAGCTGCAGGCCCCAGGGTGGGGGCCAGAACAGGTGGGCAGGTGGGGTGTGGGGCAGCAGGGTTACCAGATGTAACTGTCTTACTCAGGAAGCTGCAGAGCAGGAGTCTAAGCTCCTCAGGGATTTGTCAGCCACCAATGAAAAGAACCTGCTGCTTCAAAACCAGGTAGGAGGGCCATTGGGCCAGCTACCCAGAGTACCCAGGGCGGGAGCAGTAGGCTGCTTCAGCCTCCTACCCTGCTGCCTGCTTCCCAGGTGGATGAGCTGGAGCGGAAGGTGAAGTCTCAGCAGGAGCATCTATTTCTGACCAGACAAGAGCTGACCCACACATCAGCCGAGCTGAAGATGCGAACTGTCCAGGCTGAGGGTGGGACATGGGGAGGCCTGCCACTGAGGGGAGAGGGAGCCTTGGGGATGGAACACCCCCAGAGAAAACTCATCCCTGTTCTTCCCCACTGGGCCTCCAGAGCGCCTGGACATGGAGAAGAGAAGGGCCCGGCAGAGCTTAGAGGACTCTGAGAAGCTGCACTTCAAGGAGGTGCCTTCCTAGTGCCACCATCTGCCCCAGCTCCCTATGGTGCCTGTAGACACTCTCAGCGTGATTCTTTTTTTTTTTTTCCTGCGGTACTGGGGATCGAACTCACGACCTTGCACTTGCCAGGCAGGCGCTTATGCCACTGAGCTATATCCCCAGCCCTCGCAGTGTGATTCTGTGTCCCCAAAGCATGCCTTCCTGAGGTTCCCTCACCACACTTGCATTGTTTGCTCGTCACCAGTTGGAGTGGGTAGCAGATCTAGAGCCATCTGTTGGGGTTGGCAGGCAGCTAGGCCTGTGCTAGCTGCAGCTAAAGAGGTGCCCACCTCCCCTCCTCAGGGTGCATGTTCTGGAGTCTAGGGCTTGGCCATGTCTTTCATCTTTGGTTCCTGCCAGGCCCTTTGGGCAGCCCTTTCCCAAGATTCCTGCCTTCCAGGGTGGGATTCTATAGTGGGAGAGCTGGGGGAGCCTCTGCCTGCCTGACTGATAATGCACACTGGAGTAGGTAGAGTGCATTACCCGCCACCTAGAGGAGAGCCAGAAGGCCATGCAGGAGAGGGTCCACAGGCTGGAGACCCTACGGCTGTCCCTGGAGGAGGTGAGCCCACGGGGATGAAGGCCAAGCTCTGGTTCTAGATCAGCTAACGGTGGCAGCCCCTGGGGTTTCTGGCTTCAGGACCCTGGAACACAGCTTCCTGTTCTCACCCTTATCAGGCCTCACCCTGGGCACTCACCCACCAGTGTCCTCAAGAGGCCAGAGAGGCTTAGGGTGGCATTCAGACACCCTGGAGCCCCTACCCAGTGAAGGAGGGACAGCTGTGTGACCTTGGGAGGGAAGTGTCCCCTGATCGGCTATTGGGTATCCCAGAAGGGGTCCTGAGGCAGGGGCAGGAGGACAGGCTAACAGATGGCCATCTATGGTGTAGGAGCTGAGCTGTGTGAAGGCAGCGGCACTCAGCCAGCGTGGCCAGGCTGAAGAGGAGCTCATGAAGGTCAGGAACCAAGCCCGCCTGGAGGAGGTGAGTTGCAGCTATAGAGGCATGCAGCCCGGTGTAGTACCTTGCAAGGGAGCCAGGCCCATGGCTGGAGTGGACGAGACTAGTGCTGTCAGCCCCAGAGATAGTGTCTGTGGTTTTTTTTTTTTTTTGGTACCGTGAATCAAACTCAGGTCCTTGCACTTGCCAGGCAGGTGCTTGTGCCACTGAGCTATATCCCTGGCCCTAGAGATAGTGTCTGAGTTGGGATATGAGGTGCCAGGAACCAGCAGGGCTGGACCTCAGCCTGGACTTGGAGGCCTTGGGCGAGGTGATGGCAGATAGCAGACAATGGGTGAGACCAGCCTGGGGATGCTTTTGGAGGCCCTGGAGAATTCAGTGGCTCAGAACAAGACAAATGATAACTTGGGTGACACCGCAGCATCCTCCCCCTGAGTGTGTGTCAGTCTGCATGCAGATGACCCCTAGCTGTGAGCCCCAGCAGGAAGATCCACATATGCAGCACCATTTCTTATGCCCACAGCAACAGCACCTGGCGCATATGGAGGAGAAGCTGCAGCTGCTGGCACGAGCGCGGGATGAGGCTCAGAGTGTCTGTACACAGCAGAAGCAGATGATGGCCGATGCCCAGGTGCGGGCCAGCCAACTCCGCCTGCAGGTGGAGGGGCAGCAGCGGCGCCTGGAGGAGCTGCAGCAGGTAGCCAGCCTTTGGGGTTCAGAGGTTCTGGGGTGCCCTGCCCTTCTTCAGTCTCATCCTCTATGCTCTACAGGAGCTGAGCAGCAAGGACCAGGAAAAGGTGGCTGAGGTTAGCAGAGTACGGGTGGAGCTGCAGGAGCAGATAGGCCGTCTGCAAGCTGAGTTGGCGGGCCAGGAAGCATTGAGGGAGAAGGTGGCCGCCCTGGAGCGCCAGTTGAAAGGTGACTGCACACCTGGCTGGAGGGCTGAGCTGAGACAGGGACTTAGGCCCAGGACCAGCTCCAACTCACTGAGACTCTCGCCTGCAGTGATCGCTAATGACCACCGGGGAGCGCTGCTGGACAAGGAGAGCGAGAACGCATCCCTCCGGGAGAAGCTACGGCTCAAGGAGGCAGAGATTGCGCGCATCCGGGACGAGGAAGCCCAGAGGGCAAGCTTCCTTCAAAATGCCATCCTGACGTATGTGCAGGGGTCCTCTCTGAGGTCCCTGAGCCCTCCAAAGTGAGGGGAGGCAAGGATGCCCCAGAACATCCTAGCGCCGCGCCTAAGGAGGCGCTCTTTCATCCACATCCCACAGCAGTGCAGCGCAAGAGGTCTGACCGCGAGCTCAGCAGCCGCGCCGCCAAAGTGAGGCGGGAAATACAGAACTTTTTTCTTAAATACGAAACTTTTGCACTTGGTGATACGTTTGGTCCCAGCGCCGTTATCCATCAGCCAGGGTCTCCGTCCTAAGCGAGGGCCCTACCGATGTGGGGATGAGTCGCTCCACTGCTACGAGTAGCTGGGAGTGCCGGGACTCTGCCTGGCTCGGAACGGTGCCGCAAACACCAGCGCGTTGGCCCACGGCAGTGTGGGCGGCGCCTCGAAGCAGCACCGCACGCACGCACGCACGCCCGCCCAGGTCTGTAGCGTTGCCGGCCTGCACCGCCCCTGCTTCTCCGGGGCTTCGACTCGCGTGCGCGCCAGGTCCGTCGACCCGCGGAGCTATCGCCGCGCCCCGCCCCACTGCCGCTC